GCCCTGTGCCTGAGGCTCCCGTGCCTCCAACAGCCTCTGTCCCAGAAGCTGAATCATTGCAGCCTTGACCCATGTAGTGCGGCGTATTAATGACTAATTATAGTTGCCACCCATTAATCATCATGACCAAGGCCTGATTGATTTCCCCGGCCAGATTATCACCTGGGCTCAATGAGCTGTGCTCCAGGAGGGAGTGGGGAGCACCTTTGTTCCTGGAGCTTGAATTGACCTACCAACCCAGCACGTGTCTGCTCCCCAGCACGTAGGCGCTTCTTCATCCAGGAGGCGGCCAAGGGCAGCTGGGCCAATGCTGGCCCACGCAGGAGACCAGTGCTCCCTTGGAGGACCCGTGAAAGGAAGGGAAGCGATGTACTTTACAACACTGAAGCCTTCCGCCTCAAGGCCCGCTTTTTGAATGGTAGTCACTACTACTTTAGTATAATATAGTAGTCTCAACACCGCAGACTCCCAGCAGAGATGTTAGTGTTCCTTACAGGACCAAGAGCCCTCCCAGGCACTGTTAGTTGAAACCTGGTAGCAGTTTTGTGAGGTGACCCTTATCATCGTCGAAGACACTGAGGCTGGAGAGTAGAACTGATCCATAGGGTTTTCATTGGCTGATTCTTTTCAGAAGTAGATCACCAGGCCTTTCTTCTGAGGCGCAAGGACCAGTCATTTGCCCAAGAGCTAGATATGCACAGGGAATTCTTACTCAGGACTGGCAAGCCATTCATTGGACATTTACTCAGCAAGTTCTTATCGAACACAGTTTGGGGGTGCTGGTTTTTCTTTTCCTTTTTTGCCAAGCATTGTTCCAAATACGGCAAGGGAAGGACAAGGGTGTGTGTTCCTGTAAAGATGTAAAGTCTGGAAGATCAAATGGGGCAGTGGTACTCTGTCCTGAAGGGTTGGCGTGCGTCAGAATTAGCTGCAGTAGGGGTGGGTTCAAAGTACTAGGGACCCAAACCCTCACCCTCTAGATGCCCTGCCACCATCTAGTCAATTCAATGCATAGCAACCCTCTATAGGGTTTCCGAAGATATCAACCTATGTGGGAGCAAACAGCCTCATCTTTCTCCTGTGGAATTTCTAGTGGGTTTGAACCACCAGCCTTGAGTTTAGCAGTTCAGTACTTACCCAACAGCACCACCGGGGCTCCTCAGTACTGAGGATGGAGCGGAAAAAAAATCACTGTACTCGGTTAAATTCTCAGCTGCTGACAGATTGGAGATTTGCATTCACCCACAGGGCTATTGTAAGAAAACCCTGGTGATCTACTTCTGAAAAATTAGTCACTAAAAAACCATATGGCTTAGCAGTTACACATTGAGCTACTAACCACAGGTCAGCAGTTCAAAACTACCAGCCGCTCTGAGGGAGAAAAATGAGACTTTCTGTAGGGTCGCTCTGAGTCAGAATCGACGTGCTGGCAGTGAGTGAGGACAGGCGGACGGAACACAGCTCTGCCGTGACGCACACGGAGTCACCACGAGTCAGAACTTAGAGCGATCGCATTTCAGGGGAAAGATGCACCCCAAGCCAAGCCAAGTCGGAGACAGTGCTGTCAGAGCGGTCCGTCCTCCGAGGGAGACATGCCGACTGGACAGACAGGGTGCTGGGGCCAAGGCGAAGACTGTTCCAGACCTGGTGGTCAGGAAACCATGTGTGGAACCAGCCTCATGGAGAGCTCAGGAAAGCGCATTCCAGGGAATGGAATCCGAAAGTTTGAGGGAGGTCAGAGAGCTCGATTGACATTGGTTCCCATTGTGACCGATTTCACCTCTCCCTCATCCCCATGGGAAGAGGAACACATTGGTGGTCCCGTCTCTGTGGTCCTATCTCCAGGCCTGGGAGCCATTCGTGTGATCTGTGAGCGAGATCAGGGAGGGGACTCGGCAGGGGTGGGGGTGGGGGCTGGAAGTCTGCTCCTCCCGGGCTTCTGAGGAGCCTCTTCAGTGGCACCACTAACATGGAGTCCCTGCCTATCCTGGGGCACTGAGCGGGCTAAGAGTCCTGGGCTGGGCTCTGTGGGCAGAGATGTGATGGGGAGGGAGTGTGACACCTGAGGCCAGGGACCAGGAAAGATTTGCTTGGCACAGGCCACCAGAGAGTCTGAGGCTCAGGTGGGAGTGGGGAGAGGCAAAATGGACAACCAAGAGAGGATATTGGGTGGAATGCAATAGATGCGCTGACAGTGGGTGTGAGGGTTGAGGGAGAGGGAGTCTCTTGGGTGACTGGATGGTGTCCTGGTCTGAGATGACACGGCCAAGCGGAAACACAGAAGGGACTTTGTACCACACAAAGGCGAGTTGTCTGCCTTCCCTGTGTATAGAAGGGATGGGTCCAACAGCTCAGGCTAGTGATGGAAGCAGAGTCAGGGGACAACAGTGGTCCCTTCTGTTGTTCATAAGGTCACTGTGAGTCGGAAGCAACATAGGATCCTAAGGACAGAAGTCTTCACCGGGGCTCTGGCTGCCCTACTCAGATCCCCTACCCAAATGTTACTACCAAAGGTTAACCTTTTCTTTTTCATTCTGGTGAAAATAGACACAATGACCCACACCATTTCTACACATGTCCTTCAGTGACTTTAACTCTACCGATCGTGCTACCGTCTCCACGACTCCGTTCCAAAGGATCCTACTACCATTAGCATAAACTCGGTGCCCCTAAGCAGTGCTCCACCCTAGTAGCCACTAGTCAATTGTGAGCTCTCTGTCCTGCTAACCGAAAGGTCAGCGACTAGAAGCTACCAGTTCGCCCCTCCCAAGAAAGATGTGGCAGTCTGCTTCTGAAAAGATTTACATCCCTGGGAGCCGGGGGTCGGTGGGGGGGCGGGCAGGGCGGTCAGTCCTACTCGATCCTGTGGAGTGGCTACGCATCAGGATCAACTCATGCCAATGGATTTTATATGTTTGCTGATCTCACGTGAGCGGGACAGACTGCCTGGCTTGCTCAGCAGCACGTCTTCAAGGCACAGTGTTGACAGTATTTTCAATGGCGTCCGTCAGAACTTTCTCTTCATGGCTGAGTAATATTCCATTGCGTGTACAGACCGCATTTCGTTTACCCACTCATCTAGTGGTGGGCCTGTCAGCTATTTCCGTCTTTGGCTGCTGTGGAACTGCTGCTGTGAACGTTGTGTACAGGTTTCTGTCTGCATTGCTGCCTTCGCTTCTTCTGGTCCAGCCCTGGGATTGGGATTGCTGGCTCATCGGGCAGTTCTGTGTTCCGCTGCTGAAGAACTGCCTGACCGTTTACTAACCTTTCTTGTGAGCTTCTGGGCTATGAAATTATAGCTCAGAGAGACCACCTTTGGTTCAATTCTGATGGATTAACTTTTCCAGTTATAAAATTAATGCAAAATCATTATGGGTCATTTTGGAAAGACTATATATATATAGGTATCCCCCCAAAAACTACCTAATTGCTCTGGGCAGAGCGAAGCTTTCGTAGTACACATTTTTTACACTAGGCAAGCATCAGGCAACTCGCTCTGAGTTAGTGCACCCAGTGGCATCACCTGGGAAGGTTCTCTCTGGGCACAGTGAATTTTTTTCGTGAAAGCAGTTTCACTGGAAACTTCTTTGTGTGTGTAATGGCCAATTTAAGAGAATAGCGTGCGACTGTGAACTTTTGTTTTCTGCTCGGGAAAAATGCTGCAGAAACTCTTATGTTGAACACAGCTTACAAGGACAGCACTATGGGAAAAGTATACGAGTAGTTTTCTTGTTTCCAAAATGGTGAAATGTCCATTGATGACAGACCTCATTCTGAACGTCCATCAACTTCCCGAACAGATGAAAATGTCTACTCATAGTGCATTCGGAGTTCGTTCCACCAGGTCAGACTGTTAATCAAGCTTTCTATTTTGAAACTCTGAAAAGAATTATGTAACAGTGTGCAACACAAGAGGCCTGATTTGCGGCAGACGGGGGACTGGTTTGGTCACCATGACAATGCACCTGCTCATGCCGCCATCTCAGTGTGCCACTTTTTGGGCATAAAGCAGCATGCCTCTCTTGCCCATGCACCTGGCCTCACTCTGTGCGACTTCTTTTGGTTTCTGCAAATGAAGAGGGACATGAAAGGCAGCAATTTGATGACTTAGAAGAGGTGAAGAAAAAAACAAGGAGGTGCTGTCAGGCATCCAAACAGATGGGTTTGAAAAATGTTTCCAAGAATGGAGTCACAAATTCGACAGGATGTATTAAGTGTAATGGAGAGTACTTTGAAAGTGATAAGGTTGTTTGGTAAAAAAAAAAAGTTTAAATAATAGCTTTGAAAAAATCTGGTTTTATTTGGGTACTCCCTTATATACATATGATATATATGTGTGTGTGTGTATACCATCAAGACAATTTTCTACCCTTTTTAAAATTTTGTTTTATTACATAGGCATTTATTCTAGCATCACTAACTTTTGGGGGGACATACATCATTTTCATGGCTCCATAGTTCCTCACTGTGTGGGTGTGTCATGCTATTGGACTGACCCCCTATTATTAGAGCCTCAGATGGTTTCCAATTTCATGGCTTAAATACATGAATCGGTTGTGCCTTTATATACCAAATAAGTTCTCCCTCGGAATTGTTTTCTTACCTGAGGTTTAAAGTGTGAATTGCCTGACATAACAGTCTGCACGTTGTTGGAGTTGTGGGTAGGAGTCTTGCCAAACTTCCTTTCAGAAAGTTAGTACCTCTGCACACTCCCTGAAGTGCTGTCTCTGAGCACCTACTTTGGATCACTCCCTTCACAGATTTGGGATTTAAAACTCTGACCTCGGCTGATTTTGTGGGCCACATTATCTGGCTCCTGAGTGGCATCAGTTTTAGGCGTGATGTGGTATCCCATCACAGTCCAGTTGTTAGACTGGCTGTTTGCCCAGGGCGTGTGCATGGAGGACACTTGCAGGGTGGGTCTCTATGGTTGACACTGCTGCAAACATCTCTGAGCTAGACCTGAGCCGAGTCTTTACCTGTGTTGTCTTTCTCTCAAGGGCGCTATGATGCTCGGGCCAGAGTCCTTGTGTGCCGCCTGACCTCCCTGCTCCAGGTGCCCCTGGAGGAGCTGGACATCCTTGAAGAGACATTCCTTGAGAGCCTGAAGGAAAGCAAAGAGGAGGAATCTGAGTAAGAGAGACCTGTGACTCGAGCCGCCCCGGGCACTCATTGAGGGCTTCTGCTTTTGCTATCTTTTCCTTTCAGTTTCTGAAAAGCTTGTGAAGCCCCCTCATTGACTTTTCAAATAGCAGCACCCTCTTCTCCCCATGAAGTGGAGGTGCTGGGCGGTGGAAGGAATCCTGGGCAAAGAGCGAGGAGTCTTCTTTGTAGCCTTGACTCCTTGTGTCACCTTAGCAAGTCACTTTCCCCCTCTGGGCCTCAGTTTCCTCACTCATAAGAAGACAGGGTCAAATACATCATTGCCCAGGGCCATGAATACACAAGTCTAATATTGGCCCTGACCCCTGCTCCATCTCAGGCTCTCACAGGCTGGATTGAGCCCATGAGGCCAAACCGTCCTGGGTTCAAATCCCACTTCTGACACCCATCCACTGTGCAACCCTTTCGCTAAACCACTATATTCTTATATGTCATGTGGCATATACTGTTCTCCCAGGGTCACTGTGAAAAAAACACATGCAATCATATTAGAAAATACTTGCCCCAGGGCTGACACATAGCAAATGCTCAGTAGATAGGATTCCTCCTTTCCCCCTTACCCCCCACCCCGCACGTGCTCCGGTGCCTAACAGTTGTAGGGCAATTTTGCTGTCTACGTCTGGTAAGGAGCAGTGTATATACAAGTAACTAGGCCAGAGAGCAGCTCTTTCTAAAACACCTCACACAGGAGCTAATCCAAGAGCAATAAATCAATCACCGCTGCAGCCTAATTGTGGGCTCCTTGCATCAGGCACGTCTCCCCAACCCTTGTCAGGCTGCAGCAGCTCTCTTTGATCAACCAAGTTGTGCCAGCTCAGCCTAGCTGGGCATTAAGGTCTGAAGCCACGTTGAGCCAGAGTTGCACTCCTGCCCAGATTTGGAGGGCAAAGGGAGACGTGTTTCCTTGAGGAAGGAGGAAACTTGGTCCCTTGACGTGACCTGAAAACAGACTTGCTTTGGCTGCCAGAACTGTCAGTTAAAAAAAAACAAAAAAAACACCTGAATCCAGGTACCATAAACACAAGGGCTGCCCAGGTGCTTTGACTGTTTTGGAAACTTGTACTGTCTTATTATGTGCCCTGAAATGAAGGAATCTCTTAGCTATGGTTTGGAAATTTTATGGTCAGAAAGAGATGTCAAACAGGAGTCCCAAACTTCTTTGGGTCTGGCACAATCCATCCCTGCCACTTCCCAGCCACATGAGCTTGGGTAAGTTATTGAACTTGTCTGGGCCATCAGTACTCACCTGCAGAGTGGGATGAGAAGGGCAACTCCCGACGAGTTCTCGTCTGACTCCGGTGAGCTCACCTGTGCTTCAAGGGCTCGACACAGTGGCTGCAACAATAGGCTTAAACATCACAATGAGGAGGAGAATTCAGGAGCAGGCAGTGTTTCATTCGGCTGTGCATGGGGTCACTAGGAGTCAGAACTGACCCAACAGCATCTAACAACAACACTGTAACCATTCTTATTAAGTGTGGACCCTTTCCTTGGACAAATGCACCCCTGTAGTTTTTTACTCAATTTTAGGGGCTCTGTCGACTTCCCAGATCCTATTGGTGGTTTCCAGAAGGGCCAGAAGCCAGAGAACAGATAGTGACCGCTCGGCCAGGAGACCTGGTTCTCATTGTGATCCTGTAACCAGCTGTCGAGGTGGCCTGGGGCGCGTCACTTGCTCTCTCTGGGAACCAGTTTTCCACTTGTACAACTTCAAGACACAAAACTGAAAGACCGAGTTAAATGTAGGTTTCTTGTAATGCTGTAGGAAGCACTGGTGGTGTGGGCTGCTAACCACAAGGTCAGCAGTTCGAAACCACCAGCTGCTACAAGGGAGCCAGATGAGGCTTTCTACTCCCGCAATGAAATCCACAGGGAGCAGGTCTGCCCTTGAGTTTGGTGGCTTCCATTTGAACGCTGACAGTCTGTGTTTCTGAGAGGTGAGCTTACCACTTGGCACTGCAAGGTGATGGTCTTCAGCGGAGGTTCAGGCTGTGCTGCTCCAGCTTTCTACTCCTAGGACCCCATCGGAGCCTTAAGCCTACCCTAGCGTCCCCTCCTTGTCTAGGGACGAGATTTAGCTGTGTCTCGGTTTTCTCCATCTGCAACATGGGTTCCCAAACTTTAATTGGCCTACCACACGCTTTTCAGGAAAAAAATACCCAGCGCGTCCTGGCAATGAAAAACTTTTGTGGCCCATGATCTAAGATGCAGTGCAGGCGTCTGCTTCTGCAGCCTCCTTGGACCGGTCCAGCACTCACACGTGCATACATGCACGTACGCATGCACGCCCAGGAAACACTGATCTATAACATGGAGATTCAGTTAGGAAGTACATACCCAATGCATGGCTGCCTAGTGAGTGCTCAGTAAGCTTTAACTAAGACACTGTTGAAGGTTGAAACTCCGAAGAAACAAACCAGACTCACCACCTTGGAGCAGATTCTGACTCCTAGCGACCCTACAGGACAGTGGACAACTGCCCCTTTGGGTTTCTGAAATTTTCCATCTTTACAGCAGCCAACAGCCTCATCCCTCTCCCGGCGAATGGCTGCTGGGTTTGAACCGCTGACTTTGGTTAGCAGCTCAGTGTAAGCCTGTTACGCCACCAGGTCTCTGAAGGTTGAGACTAGTTCCCCTCAGGATAATAACGTCAATGATTGAATTTGATTGGGTGCTTACACTATGCCAGCGATTCAACAGTCCCTTGAAGGTGTCACAAATGAGGAAACGGACAGATGTAGCTCACCCAAGGTTACCCCATGGTCAGTGGCAGGGCCACAATTCCAAACAGGCTGGTCTGAGTCAGCCTTCGTGATATCTAGATTGTATGTCACTTACTATATTCCCAGGGTCATTATTGACCATTCCAAGTGCCCTCCTTAATTCTGAAGAAAGCAGTAAAGATAATTCTTTTATGGCGTTTTTATTATAAAACGGTCTCTAGACCTTCTGAAGATAAGCTCAAGAGAAGGCGATAGAAGAAGGCAGTGGTAGTGAGGTAAGTGAGATAAGGGGACAACCTCTCATAGGAGATAAGATGGCAATTAGTTATATTTAGTTATTTGTGGGTCTGTGAGGTGGGCAGTGTGGGCATCTGCTTTCGCTTCCACCTGTGTCTTTGAAAGGTTGAAGTGGAAGGCCAAGTCAAGGTCATTGCTGACATCCTAGAACAGGCAGGTGCTGGTGTAGCCTGGCCTCCTATCTAATCAGTGTGGCGAAGTCAGCCATGGGAACAGAAAGCACTCTACAAGGCCCCCGGGTGGCCGTCTCCGCCTCCACTTGTGCCTTCCACGTTGGCATTTGGTCGGACAACTGCCGTCATTGTCGGTGCTAAGTGCTGCAGTGGTGGATGACGGGGCAAGATAGTCACTTTATATGCGGGACGATTCCCAAGAATGTTCCCATCCTTAGAGACACAGAGCAATCGATAGACACTGATGGGGAACATTACAAGAGTGTTCCTTAGCCGGAGAACCTTAGGAAGAACTGACTCAAGTCGGGCACTTTGGGTAACATTTAACCAGGAATACAAAGCAGAATATTCAAGCGAAGAGGAGGCCATCCATCCAGTCTTTGGTAAAATCAACTGGGCGTCCTAGCCCCCGGCATTTGAGGAACACAGCCTTCAAGAATTGTACTCACTCTGGGTTCTTCCCATGGAGCTCCCGGCTGTCACAGTCTGCGGTGTCAGTCCATCACTGCGGGGACAGTCCAGAAGCTGGTGAGGCTGAGATACGCCAGTGGCACCAACTTGAGAATTTGACTCTGTTCTCGAGTTACAAATCTGGAGTGAGCGTTATCAATCGATTTCAGATTTGCTCTCATATTCCAGAAGTTTCCTTCTTGTTGACGATTGGCCTATGATGTAGCTCAACTATATTATTTTGTCCCAACGTGTGCTCTGTGTCCCTCGGGTTTTCCTAGATATGGACAGTGTGTGAGGGACGCGGTGGTGAATGTCCCTTTTCTGAATCCCCTGTCCTTTCCAGGCCCAGGGTCGGATACTGAGGTGGGAGAACTGGAGAAGGCTTACTCCATGCCCTAAAAGTTTGGCCCAGTGATAATCAAATACTAGATGCAGCCGAATCCCTAGAGGAGCTTGTTACGGATACAGAGTCTACACTGGGTCCCCAGATGGAGACCCGGGAAGCTGCGCTTTCCGCAGGTACCTTATGGTGATTCTGATGTAATTGATCCAAAGCCTACCCTTCAAAACTCACTGGTCTAGAACTCCAGGATTATATGGTAGAGAGGATTAGAGGGGCACAAAGTTAGAGGGTTTCCACAGTCTTGGGGCTGAGAGCAGGCTTCCTCGAAGAAATGTCACACCAGCTGACTCCGGTTAACCACCCAAAGAAAGGCAACAAGGTCTTTGAAGGGGCAGAGCTCCAGAGACTTGGTGCACATGGAGCAGGTCCGTGTAAAGTGTGAGTGAGGAAGTGACCAGAGGTGAGGCTGGAGAGGTGGACAGGGACCAGGTCTCAGTGGGCCTGCGTGTCATGGTGGTGGTGACACTTTATTCTGAAGGCAGCCAGGAAGGCAAGGAAAGAGGCAGGATGGATGGTCATCATTGTACTTTCCTGTTGGGTGCTACAATGCCGGTGGGTGCCATCAAGTGGGTGCCAATGCGTAGCGTGCCAGAGTGGAACCACCGGCGTGTTTCCAAGGCTGCAATCTTTTGGGAAGTACACTGCCTTTTGAACCACCAACTGTTCAGTTTGCACCCCCAGGGCTCTGCTGTATTAGCTTGTGCCCTGTCTCCCTTTCTCTCCATTCATATTTCATCCATGACGAAGCCGAGACCCCGGACAACTGGGCGACTTGTCCTAGACCCACCTCAGGATAATGGCAGGGGCCCTCGAGAACCTCGTCCCCACCCTGCAGGCCCATTCCCTGTGTCAGCTGAAGCTACCTGCAGCCGATCCCAAGCGGTGGCAAGTTCAGGTGCAGGTTCCTCCGGTGTGTCCTCAGCGGTTTGAATTTCTTCTCAGGCCGTGAACTCTGCTGGAAACGTCGCCTCTGCCACTCACTACTCACGGCCATCGAGTCGGCGCTGGCTCATAGAAGCCCTATAGGACACTGCCCCAGTGAGTTTACGAGACTAACTTTTTCCAAGAGTAGAAAACTCCATCTTTCTCCTGTGGATCGGCTGGTGGTTTTGAACTGCCGACCTTGCAGATTGCAGCCTAATGCATAACCTCTATGCCACCAGTGTTCCATCTCATCCCCAGCCTTCCTGAATAGTGTACTGAATAGTGATCATAGTGAAGGCCCAAAGCCTCTCACAAGCCTGTGCTCAGGAAGCAATCCTGGTGACAGTGAAAGGAACGGTCATGGCAACAACCATGGGGCAAGATTACAGATCCCTGGTGGTGCCGTGCTTAAAGTGCTTGCTGCAAACTAGAAGGCCAACAGTTCAAACCCATGAGCTGGCCCATGGGAGACTGTTATGGCAGTCTGCTTCTGTACAGGTTGACAACCTGGGAGACTGTGGGGCAGTTTTACTCTGTCCTGGGGGGGCTGTTGCCATGAGTCGGCATTTACGCTACAGCCAGCATCCCTAGAGGAGCTTGTTACGGATACAGAGTCTACACTGGGTCCCCAGATTGAGGCCCGGGAAGCTGCGCTTTCCGCAGGGGTTGGGGGTTGCTCATTCCCATTTGAATGCGGAAACTCAGGGCTGACAAGTACTTTGTGCACCGTCACAACATCGGTCCGTGACTCCGCAGAGCTCAGGTGTGACTGCAGTGACAAATGAGCTCAAACCTTCATCGCATCCAGGTGTGTTTCCTGTTCATGCCGTGTGTCCATCAAGCTTTAGTGGACACTGCTTTCCCTCGGAGGAGGCCTGGGGACATGGTGGATCAGTGCTAGGCTGCTCAATGAGGGATTGGCAGTTTGAGCTCACCATCCACTCCCTTTATAACCAAAACCAAACTCACGACCATCGAGTCCCTTTTGACTGACAGCGGCCCCATCCAAGAACTGTCCAAACTCACTGCCATCGAGGGAATGCCGACTCATAGTGACCCTGCTGGACAGGATGAAATGGCCCCCGTGAGTTTCAGAGACTGTTACTCTTGACTGAAGGGGAAAACCTCATCTTTCTCCCACAAGCAGCTGATGGCTTTGAACTGCTGACCCTGCGGTTAGCAGCTCATTGCATAGCCACTGTGCCACCAGGGCTCCTATCGAGTCCCGCTGAGTCAGGAGTCAGCCCACTCTGGTGTTTGGTTTGATCGTCATTCTGAGGCGTCATTCCCAGTCGACAGACCAGCCTCTTTCTGGAAGGTGGCTGGTCTCAGGGCAGACTGAAAGGAGACGACCTCTCAGGATCCTACCCTGGCCTTAAAGATTCTTCCACGGCGCTCTTCTTTCCACCTACATGTCATTGGCTGAAGTGGGTCACGTGGCCACTCATCTGCCCTCCCTAGGAAGAGACCGCAGAGGATCTGGTGAGTGGGAACGCGATACAAGAGTGGAGCGAGGCGTTGAGCCAGTGTCTGAAATAAAACCCGTTGCCATCCAGTGGACTCCAGCCATGGCCACCCCATGTGTGCAGAGGACAGGCTTTTCTTGGCTGGACTTTCAGAAGCAGATCACCGGGCCGTTCTTCCCGGGCACCTCTGAGTGGGTCTGAACCACAAACCTTTGGTTACTAGCCGAGCCCGTAACCATGTGCACCACCGAGGCCAACGTGAGTGCGCTTGAATCCTGACTTCAGAACCTGAGCTCTCCATCTCGGCTCGATGCCTGTGGTCCACGCTTCCACGGAGATGAATGTCTGCTCACCACAGCCCACGTTGCCCATGAGCCCCTGCCAGGCGTCCAGGACAGTGCCTCGCGCGGCTTCCCTGCAGAGGCACAGAAGCCAACGTAGAGAGGCCCTCTGGGTGGGATTCCGTGACTGGCAGGCTCCTCGGCAGAAGCCACGGCAGATGCGCAGATCCTCAACCCAAATCCTGTCTCTTTTGGGCACTGGAGAATGAGCCGCTTTGTGTCTCTGGCTTGCGAGGAGGGGGCTGGGGCTGAAACAAGCACTAGGGGAGCCTGGGCTTTGCTCTGCTTCCACAAAGGCGGCGTGGAAAGTGGCGGTGCACAGCCTCCTCTCCAGCCAAGTGTGGACTGGGTGGATGGAAGGATGAATGGATTTGCTCTGTACAAACCAACAGTCTCTTCATTGATCCCCAACAAAGTCGATATGATCCCCCCATTTTACACACGAGGAAACTGAGGCTCGGGGAGGTGAAATAGAATAACAGCAAAAACCCAGCTAGCATCCATTGAGCCTATTCAAACGCATCGCAACCCCACGTGGGCCGGAGGAGAACTGCCCCGTAGAGTTTTCCACGGCTCCGTTTGGGGAGGTAGACTGCCAGGCCTTTCTTCCGAGCTGCCTCCAGGTGGGCTCAAGCGCCTGAGTGCGGTCCCTGGTTCACCCTCAGGGACTCCCTGTTGGCAGTGCCCTCTGACTCAGAGACCCAGCCACGGTCTCCCTGAACACGTGCAGTGTGCCAGCCATTTGCTAAATGCTGTGCAGATGCTCTCTGAATGGACCCCCGCAGCCCCTCTGTGTATCCTTTATACTCGGAATATGGGGACAATCTTATCTCAGGATGAGACTAACTGCAGTGCGGAGCACGGTGGCCGGCTGGCAGGGAGCCCTCTGTACTTATTAACTTGCTGCTGCTTTTATGGTCCTCCTCTCTTGGCATCACTTCAGACAGAGCCGTTGTCCAAACTCCTCCGTCAGTTCAGAGTCCGAGCTAATAATGACCGCAGCCCCCGACCCCCCATCTCACCCCTGGTGGCTTCAAAGTGGCCGAGGGACTGACTCCCCGGCAGGAAAGAAGCCAGGCTTGGTGACACCCCAGAACCCACACAGCAGTCATCTCAGGCCCCGCCTGACCCCAATCTACTCTCAAGTCTTTCCTGTTGCTGAATTGTACAGCTTTTAACTTTCAAGTCTGAGCAATTCCAGACATCGCTCCAAGGTCAAGGTCGCCCATGCTGACCTTCCCTAACCCATCTCCAAAATGATTGGTCTGAGGGAAATTGGTTTCCAAGTGTCTGAGACGGCAGTGGGACGGGGCGAGGGAGGGAGGATGGCCAGGGAGCAATGGATTCTGTGGTTCTAATTTGTCCTCGTTCCGGGTCTGTCTGTTTAAAGATATTTGTGTGTGCTTCTCTTGCTGCTGCTGTTATTTTCTTGTCTTTCTGTTATTCACATTGCAAGCCCATTAGGACGGACCTGTTGGGTAAGTAGCACACCCATACATTGGGGTTCCCAGCTGGGCTTTAGGGTGCTGTCAGCTTATTAAAGGTCATCACTGGGCCCAGGGTGACTTGGGTGCCTGGCTCTGCATGGCAGTGTACCCAGTATTGACCCCAGTGGAGAGGTTGGTGAGCAGGGAGGTCTCAGGGGTTCCCAAGCACAGCTGACTCTAAAGCCTCTTCCACCCACCAGAATGGCTGAGGCCTCCCGAAAGAAGAAAGAAACTCGGAGGAGATGGAAACGCTATCTCCTGATAGGCCTGGCGACCGTCGGAGGCGGGACCGTGATCGGTAAGGCGGTGTGGAAGAAGAAGTGATGCCAGGCTGGGCATGAGAGTGCAGCATGCAGGGGGATCGGCTGGGAGGTGGCCTGAGATGGAGTGAAGGCCCTCAAAGGTAGCCATTCCCTGAGATGCCCACCCCAGATAGGCATCCAGTCCCTCTTTTAACAGCCATCTTTAACAACCTGTGAACTCCCTCAGCCATTTGCAGTCAGCCTCGGCCAAGTGATGTGTCTCCTCCTGGGCCCAGTGATTCCACCACTCAGCCCCCATTCCCCCGGCCCTGCTGCCCTACTGTGTGTCTCCAGTTCACTTAGCCTTGTTGCTGTAAACAACAGAGATAGATTATCTTGCAGTGTAGAGGTATCCTAATTGCATCTTACTGGCCCCAAATCAAGATGTTAGTGGGCCTGGTTCCTCCCGGAGGCACTGTGGGAGAATCTGTTGCTTTGTTTTCTTCACCAGCATAGGTTCCAAAGCGTATTTGCTCCACTGTCCTCTGTTTAGAAAGAAAAAAGAATTACTCAGTGCCCCACTGGCAATGAAAAGCTTTTGTGCTACATCTCGTAATCCAAGAGAGAGTGGGTGTCTGCCTTTGCAGCCCACTTGGATCATTCCAGCATCCCCTAACGGGTGGTCTCACCCACTTTAGGAAGCACTGTAGTAAAGGCTGCCTATATTCCTTGACTCATGGTCCAATCACTACAACCTCCACATCCTTCATCACATCCCTTTATCCAACCCTAACGCTCCTCCCTCCCTCTTATAAGGATATACAGAGTCACTGTACCAAAAAGAGTTGATGGACATGCCACCATTTCAGGGGGTAGGAGATGGATCAAGAACCAATTGTACTGAAGGAAGAAGCCCAAGCTTCACTGCAGGCATTGGTGGAAAGCAGGCCTCCCCGAACTGAAAGAGCCGATCGAGCTGTTCAACAAATGGGTGAAACACTGGAAGCACTCACTCATCTAGGCCATAAAATTTGGAAGACAGTACCTGGCCAACCACAGGGGAAAGATCCATATGTGTGCCCATTCCAAAGAAAGTGATCCAACAGAATGCAGAAATTAATGGGCATGATTAGTAGGATCACACCAAGTGAAATTTTCCTGAAGGTAATTAAAAACATAGTTGGAGCAATACGTCAGCCAGAAATCCAAGCCAGATTCAGAAGAGGAACTGGGGATATCAATTCTGATGTCAGATGGTTTTGCTTGAACACAGAGACTACCAGAAAGATGTTTACCTGTGTTTTATTGACTCTGTAAAAGCACTCAACTGTGTGGATCATAACAAATTGTGAACAACATTAGGAATGGGAATTCCAGAACACTTTATTGTGCTCATGCGGAACCTGAATATAGACCAGGAGGAAACTATTCATACAGAATGAAGGGATGCTGTGTCACTTAAAATCAGGAAGTGTGTGTGTCAGGGTTGGATCCTTTCACTTATACTTAATTCAATCTATGCGCTGAGCAAGTCATCCAAGAAGGTAAAGTACATGAGGAAGAATGTGGTTCCAGGATTGGAGGAAAGAGGAAAACTCATTAATGCCTGTGATGTTCAGATGATACAATTTGCTTGATAAAAGCCAAGAGGACTTGAAGGACTTACTGGTGAAGATCAAAGACTACAAAGAAGAAAAAAAGTCTCACAAATGGACCGACAAAGAACATTATGATAAATGGAGGAAAGATGAAAGCTACCAAGGGTTTTATTATACTTGGTATGTTAGGGTTCTCTAGAGAAAAAGCCAGGACACTTATGATTTGATAGATGACAGATAGATAGATAGATAGATAGATAGATAGATAGATAGATAGATAGATAGATAGATACAGCACAAAGGAATATAACAGCTGATTAGTCCACACAGCAGTACAGAGGGCTCAGTTCAACTCACTTCCATGGAACAGTTGACATGCTGGAAGTCCTACAACTCACAAGAGCTGCTGGGTCCAAGGTCAAGGATGCAGACAGCTGAGTCTTCCTGAGAGCAATGCAGGCAGTCCGGCCACAGGCAGCAAACAGCAGGGTGGGTCACCAACAGTCAGCAGCTCAGAAGCTTAGTAAAGCAGACCCAGATGGAATATCAAATTCAAGCAATGCAAGACGACAGGATCCACCAGCCTCAAGCTCAATCGATACACACACCAGCAGCTATGACGAAGCAGGTCTCAGATGAACCTCAAACTCTAGCAAAAGGATCCATGGGTTGGGTGTCCCACAGGTGGTGTAGCTCACAAGTTGAGGCAGAGAACTAGCTAAAGCAGCTGCACACTGTTCTGATCACCAAAGAGAAGGGGGCAAGGGGCTGGGCCTTGCCAAGCCATTTATCTCTTTGCCCTCTAATCAAACTGTGACCTTATTAATCCCAAATGTTCCTATTGGCCAGGTGGGCACAATAAACCTACCTATCCCACTTGGATTTACAATTAATGCCCATGGAAGCGATAGTCAGGAATCAAAGGTATAAGGACATATTTCATTCAGCAAATCTACTCTTAAAAAAAAAGCAAAGAAGTCACTTTGAGAATGAGGGTGTACCTGACCCACACCGTGGTGTTTCCAGTTCCCTCATATACCTGTGAGAGCATATGAATAAGGAAGTCTGAATAAGAGTGGATGCCTCTGAACCATGGTGTCGGCAAAAATATCGAGTATGTCATAAACTGCCAGAGAACAAACATCTGTCTGTTTGTTGTGAGTTGTTGTGAGTGTCGTTAGGAGATATTGAGTCTGTCCCAGCTCACAGCAGCCTTATGTACAGCAGCGGGAATCCTGCCTGATCCTGCCCCATCCTTAAAATGGTTCCTATGCCTGGCCTGAGCCCATTGTTACAGCCACAGTGTCAAACCATCTCCTTGAGGGTCTTCCTCTTTGTTGCTGCCCCTCCGCTTTACCAAGCATGATGTCCTTCTCCAGGGACTGGTCTTTCCTGACAACATGTCCAGAGTATATGCGATGAAGTCTCCCCATCCTTGCCTCTAAGAAGCCTTCTGACTGCGCTACTTCCGAGGCAGATTTGTTGGCTCTTCTGGCGGTCCTTGACACGTTCGATGTTCTTTCCCAACACCATAATTCAATTGCACCCATTTCTCTTCAGTCTTCTCTATTCAGAGTCCAACTTTTGCAAACATTTGAGACGATTGGATAGACCATGGCTTGGCTCAGGTGCATCTGAGTCCTCAAAGTAACCTCCTTGTTTTTTCAACACTCTGAAGAGGTCTTGTCCAAAAGACCTGGCAGCCTACTTCCAAAACACTCAGCCCCCGAGCATCCATGGGGCAGTGTTCCTCGGAAGCACATGGGGCAGCGATGGCCAGTGGAACACACTCAGCAGTAGCTGGGGTTGGTGTGGCCACCAGGGCTGCTCCACCCGCCGCGTGCTCACTAGTATTCTTAGAAGAGTCCATGGAGACAGCAGTGGGCAGCTGGGGGGCAGAGGGGGGGGGGTTTCAAACCCAGCAGGCCAGGCCCTCATCCCCATGGTTGCCCACCATCAGCTGCTTTCCTTACAGGTGTGACCGGGGGTCTAGCTGCCCCTCTGGTGGCCGCGGGCGCCGCGACAATCATTGGCAGTGCTGGGGCAGCTGCTCTTGGTTCAGTGGCCGGCATAGCCGTCATGACCTCACTGTTCGGTGCCGCTGGAGCTGGCCTGACCGGTAAGTTCAAGAGCAACGGCGAGGTCTTTTCAACAAGGGCAGCCCAGCATCTAAAGTG